ACACTTAAGGTCTACTGTAAATGTTATGATACAAAATACTATTAATAACTGTAGTCGCAGCGTTGTACGTTAGATCTCTGAAACTTATTTGTGTTATAACTGAAGGTCTGTACTCATTGAACAACATCTCCCCATTTTTCCCACTGGAAATCACGTTTGTATTCTCTCCTCCTGTGAGTCCAACTTTTATTTATTTATTTATTTATTTATTTATTTATTTATTTATTTATTTATTTTTTCTTTGAGACAGTCTTGCTCTGTTGCCCATGCTAGAGTGCCATGGTGTCAGCCTAGCTCACAGCAACCTCAAATTCCTGGGCTCAAGCAATCCTCCTGTCTTAGCCTCCTGAGTAGCTGGGACTACAGGTGCTTTCCACCACGCCTGGCTAACTTCTCTATATATTTTTAGTTGTCCAGCTAATTTCCAAACTATATTTTAAAACTATAGTAATAAAAAACAGGATGATACGTGCATGAAAATGACACACACAAAAAACAATGGGACAGAATAGAGAGCCTAGAAATAAACCCATGCATAAAAGGTCAAATTATCTTTGACAGGCACACCAAGAATGCACAGTGCAGAATATATAGTCTCTTCCATCATTGGAGCCAGGAAAACTGGATACCCATAAGTAAAAGAATAAAATTAGACCATTTTTCTTACACCATACCCAACAATTAACTCTAAATGAAATAAGAACTTATGTATGACACAAATCCTCAAAATTATAAAGAAAACATATGAAAAACCTACTTGATATTGATCTCGACAATGGATTTTTTTGGATATAACACCAAACATATAACAACCAAAGCAAATATAAGTAAGTTAGACTGCACCAAATTAAAAAGCCTTTGTACAGGAAAGAAAACAAAACTTGCAGGATGGAAGAAAACATTTGCAACAATATATATGACAGGAGGTTTATATTCAAAATCTATTTTAAAAACTCTTTTTTTTTTGAGACAGGATCTCGCTTTGTTGCCCAGACTAGAGTGAGTGCCATGGCGTCAGCCTAGCTCAAAGAAACCTCCAAACTCCTGGGCTCAAGCAATCCTGCTGCCTCAGCCTCCCAAGTAGCTGGGACTACAGCGTGCGCCACCATGCCTGGTAATTTTTCTATATATATTAGTTGGCCAATTAATTTCTTTTTATTGATAGTAGAGACGCGGTCTCATTCCTGCTCAGGGTGGTTTCGAACTCCTGACCTCAGTCAATCCCCCACCTCGTCCTCCCAGAGTGCTAGGATTACAGGCGTGAGCCACCGTGCCCGGCCAAAACTCACATATCTTAAAGGCAAAAACAATAGCCCAATAACAAATAGCCAAAAGACTAAAAAGATATTTTCCAAATGAAGACATAAAAAATCACCAATCATGAGTCAATTACAAATCAAAACCATGTTGCAGTATCACGTCATAACTGTTGGGAATCTAATATCAAAAAGAAGAGATAACAAATTTTGACAAGGATGTGAAAAAAAAGAAATCCTGTACACTGCTGGTGAGTTGTATTGGTTCATTTATTATGAAAGCAAATATTGAAATTATTTAAAAAGAACTAAAAAAGTAGAACTATGACACAATGCAATAATCCCACCTCTGTGTATATAACGAAAGGAAAGAAAATCAGTATTTTGGAGAAATATCTGCACCCCTGTGTTCACTGCAACATTATTCAAAATTGCCAGGATACGAATACAACCTAAATGTTTGTATGTGCTGCATAAGGAAAATGTGGTATATATACAAAATAGAATTTTACTCAGCTATAAAAATATTATTCAGTCATTCAACAACATAGATTGACCTGAAGGACATTATGCTACCTGAAATAAGCTGGGCACAGAAGGACAAATACTGCATGATGTCACTTACACAGCAAATCTAAAAAAGTTAGACTAGTGGGGCGTGGTGGCTCATGCCTGTAATCCTAGCACTCTGGGAGGCAGAGGCAGGAGGATTGTTTTGAGCTCAGGAGTTCGAGACCAGCCTGAGCAAGAGCAAGACCCCGTCTCTACCAAAAAAAACCAGAAG